TAGCCTATATAAACAATTGCAAGTTCTCCTGGTCAAACATTGATAACCCAGGGGTAGAGGTTAGCCTTTCCCAAACTACGTAGAGCTTGGAGAGGGATCCTTGCCATTGTGACTGGCCTAACCTCAAAGAGTCACAAGCTCTGCAGCAGCTTCCTTGGCTCTCTCTCGATTGGCGAACCTCTCCTCCAGACCCTCAAATATCTGGTCCAATCATGTTGTAACAGCCCAATTGGTTATCGGGGTAGCCTGTATAAACAATTGTGGTCAGACATTGATAACCCAAGGGTAGAGGTTGGCCTTTCTCAAACTACGTAGAGCTTGGAGATGGATCCTTGCCATTGTGACTGGCCCAACCTCACAAGCTCTGCAACAGCTTCCTTGGCTCTCTCTCGATTGGGGAACCTCTCCTCCGGATCCTCAAATATATATCTGGAAGTGCAGACCCTCCCAAAGGAGCTACAGTGGACTGCACCTTGGTAACCTCTAAGCAAGTGAGTTCCTTGAGGTACCATCGCATCTAGGCAAGTCCAATCTGCTACATCCACTTTTCAAATTGTTGTTATCCCTGGTAAATGTGTCATACTAGACTGTCTTCGGGTGCCTCGATTTCCGTTGCCTTGAGCCTACAGTCACTTTTCCACCAAGAGTAACAGGGTGCCCTGCCACAAGCTGCAGAGACTGCACCTTTGGAGGTGTAGCCGGCTACTGGCTTGGGATGATGCAGCAGTAGAGGACCTTGCATGTGAATGGGGTGTCACATGAGGTGGAGTAGGTGCAGGTGGGGAAATAGGAGGAGGAGGAAGACGCAGACAGATGTCTGCCGAAAATCTGTCCAACGAATCAACAAGGGAGGATAGTTTGCCCTCCATCGCAGTCATCCTGTCTTCCCAGGAAGTGTGCCCCTTGCTGTTTGCTTGCAGGTTTCTAGTTTCTTCTGCCATGGTGACCTCCTTTTTCCATCTCTGAACCAGTTGCCTCTGCAGCACTGCTCACCTCCTCAACTTCCTGTCCAATCAGACCTTTGTGGCCCATCCCCTGACCGATTGAAGTATGCCCCATTCCTTATGGTTCTTTCCGATCAAATAAAATAAGTGTAGCAGTGGTTAAAGGTTGATACTATCCTGCCCAATATGGAATACAGTACTGATTTGAAAATCAAACGGATTAACGGACGCACACGGACTGCTCTCTGACTAACTCATAGGACTGACGTTGATTGACAAGACTGACCTTAGCTAGAGGAGTGCATATCCAAGGGTAGTTCAATCCTCAATTCCAAGTCTGAGAAGAAGGATTTCAGCAGGTGCAGGGACTGAAAGCAGTTACTAACACTCAACCGCATATGGACTCAACCTTGACCAGTGAATATCTTTTCACAGAAAATAAAATAAAAATTTAAGATTAGTGTTCATACAAAGAACAACAAACTAATCAGTATTAATATGTAATATGTATTGTTTACTTATTATTAGAGAAGGGTTAGTAAAGACGGCAGATTAGCGCGTAGTATCAATAGGCATTCAGGTACTCCAAGGCTGTGGCAACGATCAACAGCAAAATCAAACAATGATTCTCTTTTACCGCACGCTGGAAATTGATCCAAAATAAAATAATATTTGATTAAATCCTTTCCGGATCTTCTCCAGAACCCCAGCGCTTAATTAACACGGAAAGAAACCCGGGTTCTCGCAGAACAAAATTAAATCTGCAGGAGGATGATCTTTCGATTTGCAGAAGATAAAAAAAAAAAAAACCGCAATTTGTAGGCTATCGACCAGCAGATTGACTAACAGGGCTTTATTAGATTGCGGACACAGCGTCACTTTGTGGACCGTTTCACCGACCTTTCAGGACTGACGGGACTGAACTGGACTGACACCAGATCTAACACGAGAGACCAGGACAGGACAGACTGACAGAACAGGCACTGTAACCACAATCTGTGCGCAGGCTTCAAGACCCACGGTCAACTGCAGAAAAATCAAATAGTCAACTCATTGACAACCTACTGACAACGACCAGACTGACAAACTTGCACTGACCCCTATGCAGACTACAGACTGGCAGATCTGACAAACCAATTTTGACAGACTGAGGGACTGACGTCAGAGGAACAGGTCGTTGGAACGAACTCACTCGATCAAGGTCTTGATTGAATACTGCCACCGGTCAACCTGTTGCCCGAAATACAGGGGGCCTGGCTGACTCATTGTCGGTCAGGGCCCAAACTGAATGTTCGCCGCAACTTCCAATCAACCCCGCATGTGATTCGCCGCTCAGTTGTCTGCTGCAAATTGATATTCCCCCAAGTGGGGTCTGCAAAACCGGTGGATGGCCAAACAGGCAGCGCCTGGCACTTGACGGTTGTGAAACCCTCAGGTCAACCGGTGGTGCTAGTTAGAGTTGACACCCTAACTAATTACTGTCGAGGGTCAGCTCAATCAGGGAGACCGCCCCACTTTTTTTTTCTGTTTTTTTTTAACGCACTTTCTCGCGGATGTGCACCAATCAATCAATAGCTGTCGCCGCCGACATCGTTGAAGACTACAGGGCACCACCCGAAACCGCCAACCGCAGCCCGACAGATGTTGGCCAACTAATAAGTCCCTTGGATGCACATGGTCGTGGCTCTGATACCAACTGTTATGTGCCTGATTGAAACGAGATCGAACATGGCATCCACACGTTCGCATACACATGTGCAAGGACAAGTGACCTTTGGAGGGAGCAATCCACGCCACACTGGATGATAAAAATACACAGAAGAAGCACACAAACACCGAAAATAGAATTGAAATGAAAATCAATTCTAATTACCGTATCTCACCAAGTCAATCAACAGCACAAATTTCCAAGGATCCCAACCACGTTATCAACACCCACGGACCAATTATTTACAAGATTTCATCGAACCATTCGGGAGTCTTCTTCATCCTCCCTCTTCCTCAAGCTCTAGCTACGGTGCTGCAAGCACCCGAGTTACCCAACCTATCAAGCCTGCCAATCGCCACACGCTCTCCTAAATCCAACACCCCTGAGTCTCTGCACCACTCAAGAAGCCCACTGCAGATGAAGTGTCCACTCAGCAGGGGAACGCAGCTCCCAGGATGATGAAGAAGAACAGCAACTCAATGAAGATGAAGATCTGCCACGTCGAAGAAGAACCGCTGAAAGTGCAGCTTCCACGGCAGCTGACCAAACCCCAACAAGCACACAAATATGAGGAAGTGCCCTACAACCCAGCAGCCACCTACAGACCTATCTGAACGTCCAAACTGCAAACATCTACGGCCAAACAGTCAACATCTACTTACATGCATCTAGATGGAAACCTAGACTAAGGGAACCCAAGGCTAGGACACACAAAAGAAACTACGGGCTTACCAGTTTCCAGAAGCTTAAGGCAGAAAAGGACAAAACACGACCATTTCGTCAAAATGGACATTTTTTATTTTTTTGAACAAATTGAAACCGAGTTTTTTGGTCGAAAACTTGTCAAAATTTGTTGTTCTTGAGGGTCCAGCGTTCTACAAATGCTGGACCCCCTGGCTGTACATGGACCTAGCTTGAGACCAGGTACCTCCAGGCAGGACCGCCTGGAGGTACCTGGTCTCAAGCTAGGTCCATGTACAGCCAGGGGGTCCAGCGTTTTGTCCAGCGTTAGGAACAACAAATTTTGACGAGTTTTGGGCCAAAAAACTCGGTTTCAATTTTGTTCAAAAAATAAAAAATGTCCATTTTGACGAAATGGCAGTTAAAACAACAAGGCTGAAAGGCCTAAGACTACGAAGTAGAGACTACTAGCAACAGGTTCAAGGTTTAAGCCCAATAAGGCTCAAAAACAGTGAAATCTCCACAAACACACTACAGGTCATGGGATCAAGTCCTGGGTTGACTTCAGCAACTGCAGAAAACGACAAAACAGCAAAGCCTAAGGGTCTAAACTGCCAAATAGAGACTACTAGCTACAGGTCTAGGGATCAAGCCCAGTAGGGCTCGAAGCGAACAAACCGAACGTACAAATTACAGGTCATGGGATCAAGTCCTCGCCCAAACCAAGGAAACAGCAAACACAGTTATTGTACAGTCCCACTGGGATGCTGTGATTTATTCCAGAGCTATAATAACCAGCGTTCTAATCGGTAGGAGACGATGGCAGGCTGGCAGCACCTTAGCTGACGACCAGTGGGAAGCAGCTATGATGATTGGTGACCTTAGGGACAAGTGACCAAGAAGCTGACATTTCGTTAAAACTGTTTTTTTTCCCTAAATTCACGATTTTGAACTTTAAAGTGGACGTACTCAAAATTTCATTGCTCATTGGATGAGAAAGTGAGTATCTCACTTTGACCATCTGATGTATCTCAATGAAAAGTACATTGTCAGTCAATCCGGGGGTCCAATCATCGGGCCTTGTCGCTTTGCCCGACCATCAGATGTTCCGACGTCATGGGGACCAAAAAAATGCAAAAAAATACTGTTTTATTTCACATGCTCAATTTCGTGAATTTAGAAAAAAAAATATGATTTTTAATGAAATGTCAGTTAAACCACCACTCCACCAGTACCTGGCCCAGCTATCGGCCGCGGCGCTTCCCGTATACGCGCCGCGCCAGTTGGGCTTCGGCCTGCCGGGCCGCATTAGCTGGAGGCCGCAGGCAAAACGAAAAAGAAAATTGCGACGGCAGTTCGGCAGGACTTGGCGTGCAGCGTGCTGGGAGGCTCGGATTCAATAGCTGAGCGAGGTACTGGTGGTTTAAGGAGGAAAGAACCTCGTTCTTTACATCTTGCGTCCGGACCCTTTTTTTGGTTTCTTTGGGGTGGGTGGGTGGTGCGGTGTGGGGAGGGGAGGGGAGGCAAAATAGGGGAACAGCAGGGAAGCGGCAGTAGTCTTATTAACGAAGGGTGAACCCTGATTATGGGATGCAGCCTAACCAATGTAATCATTATGGTAAGTTATTGTATGGAATAATTGGAATTGAATTTGTGTTTTTATGCAGGAAGAAGAGGAGAGGCATCCCTGGTGGATAGCTTTTTGGGACCATATAGCTCAGACTCTGCTCTTGGAAGGATGCCTCCTCAGACAGAGAGTCGTCAAACTGCAAGTGGGGTACCTAGTACCCCAGTGCAGCCAGATACGGACATAGCAGGCACTGGAAGTCTACCTACTCTTATCCAGGGTTCCTATGGGGGTGGGCTTTACGCCACAGAAGAGCACGCTTTGTCGGAGGGAGGTATGTACCCTACTGCGCCATTGCCCTGCTCTCCTTGAGTGCCTTGATCTTGAGTTTTGCATTGGAGGGGGCGGGGAGGGAGGGGGGAGGGTGAAATAGGAAGTGGGATGAGGCTCGGGTTGGATGCAAGCCCTTTGAAGATGAACGAGTGGTGCCGAGGGGAATGTGGACAATTTCTTTCTCATAACGCAAGACACGTCATTGGGTCTCTTCTTCTTTTTTATGGCTTTTTTTCCCCCCTTTCTTTTTCGTTTTTGCTTCCAGGGTCTTTTTTTTTTTTTGCCAGGAAGGGAACTTCATTATCAGGGCCTGGTGGCCAAGGCAAAAATAATACATCAGCCATGCAAGGAAGAGGGGGGGGTCGGCCGATAAGGTATCAAAGAGAGTTCAGGATTCAAGTGTAGGTCTGTTTCTCTGAAATTCATGGGGTACCATTCAGCCGCCGGGATCTGAACTTGAAATGTAGAGGGAAGTGGGGTTGGGTTCAGTCAAATTTTGGTAGCATCTGGACTGCGGTCACCACAGAGGACGGACGAATACTTGGACACCCCTATCCACAACACTGTTACAGGCGAAGTTCGCCAGGATCCAGACTTGAGCGATTCAATTTCGAGAAGGGGTGTTCCGTTCAATTTTGGGAACATCAGGAGTCCAGTCATTGCAGTGGACAGGTGAATACATGAAGTTTGCCGGTGTGAGGACTTCACATATTGTCGCTACAGGCCGACGGAAGTTCAGATACCAGTGAACTTCGAATATTGTCGCTCTTTTGCTACTTAAGTGAAGCTCGGAACCATCGAACCTTGCACTTAATACCCTCACCCGTAACATTCGAAGTTCGCCGACATCCAAACTTCGAACATTGAGGGAAGAGGTGTTCGGTCCATTTTCGGTAACAGTAGGACTCCGGTCATTATAGAGGAAGGATAAATATATGAAGTTCGCCGGTATGCGAACTTCGCATATTGTCGATACGGGGCGTCTGAAGAAATTTGGATACCGGCGAACTTAAGCGGTTCGCTCTTTTGCTACACTTATTGAAGTCTGGAATCGTAAAACCTCGCACTGGACACCTCCACCAGTAACATTTAAAGTTTCGCTGAGATTTGAACGTCGAATATTGAGGGAAGAGGTGTTCGGTTCAATTCCGGTCACAGCAGGATTCTTGTCATCACAGAGGACGACTGAATATATGAAGTTTGCCAATATCTGCACTTCACTTAATATTGTCAATAGTGGGCGACTGAAGAAGTTCGGATATCGGCGTACTAGATCGATTCGCTCTTTTGCTACGGTTTTTTTTGTCTGGAATCGTAGAACCTCACACTGAACACCCTCACCCGTAACATTTGAAGTTCATCGGGATCCGAACTTCGAATATTGAGGGAAAGAGGTGTTCGGTCTGATTCCGGTAACAACAAGACTCCGGTGATCAAAGAGGTGACGAGTATATGAAGTTTGCCGGTATCGAAACTTCACTTGTTGTTGATAAAGGGCGACTGAAGAAGTTCAGATGCCGGCGAACTCGAGAGTTTCCCTCATCGCCTCCTCTGACTGAACCTAGATGTCGTCGAATGTCGCACTGAACATCCTCACCCGTAACACTCGAAGTTCGTCGGGATCCGAACTTGAAATATTGTGGGAAGAGATATTCAGTTCGGTTTCAGTAACAACAACATTCATTCATTGCAGACGGCGGACCCATAAATGAAGATCGGCGATTTCCAAACTTCACATATAATTATTGGAAAGGGTTGACTAAAGAAGTTCGGATTCCAGCGAACTTTAAAAGTTCGCTCAGATTCAACTACTGCTGAATTGCAGATGGTACTGAAATGGAGCCGAACACCCTTGAAATAAGATCACAACTGAAAACTTGAAAGCTAACCCGCAACATGCGGAGTTCGCTGAGATCCGAACTTCGAATATTGAAGGAAAGGGTATTTTGTTCATTTACGGTGTCAGAACGAATTTTGTCATCGTAGAAGGCGTGCACTGACGCTATTCTTGCACTAACTCACATCATTTCATCATTTGTTGTTAATTTGCAAACGTTCTTCAAGGGGTCGGGAGCAGTGTGCGGAAACGTGCGAGAGGGAGTCGGGTAAAGACCCGATGCGATGGTTAATTATCGCAGCGAATGGTCCGTCGTGCTCCAATCACATGAAGGCAAAATGGTACGCCGACTGTGTTGTGGGGATGTTTCCAACCCCACTAAGGCGCCATGTGGACCTGTTATTTTCATTGACGACAGCAAACACAATAGAGTGCTTGGGACCGTCATCGGGCCAGACGACATGAAGGAGGGTCGTCACCATTTCAGGACAAAAATAGTGTACAGGTCTAAAGGCAACTTCGTTGCCAATTCCAAAGGGGCAATTTTGTCGTGGGATCTTTTCCAAGGTTTCGGAGAGGCGGCGGTGACCACCTCGTTCTACCGTGAGCTTTCGAAGGAGGGGTTTGTTATGGTTCGGAAACTTTTCGATGACTTGGAAATAAAGAATGTCGAACTGGACAGCCCCTGTGACGTTGGGCCTACACAGGAGTTGTCTATTCCCTTGAAGATGTCCACCGGGTTGAAATTCAGCGGGGCTCCCACGGAAGGGGAAGGTCTAGGTCAGGGTTCGCCAACTGAACTGCACTGGGGCGAGGGCAGTGGTTGATTTGACTACGGCGACGACAACGACGATGGGTTACTGCCCCCACCAACGATGCAAAGAGATAGTGCAACTCTATCTATTCCTGGGATACAGGAGGTCATTCTCGTTCGAGAGCAGTCGTTGTCTTTAACAGAACGTGTTCTAGCTGACTCAGATGTCGGTGCTGCTATTGTCGGAGGTCAAGTTGTTGAGGAGGTTTCTGCAGGTCCACACGGGATGCAAGATACTCTACAAAAGAGAAGCGGAGGTCCTCACGACCAAGCGGTTGGATCTTCTAAGAAATCGAAGATTGCGATCTCGAAGACGACGCACAGGAAGAGGAAGGAAGTTGGGGGGCAACATGGTGTCTTTGGTTTGAAAAGGTCATCTTTAAAAGAGTCGTCGTCAGAACCGGTGCAGCCACCAGTCGTTGACGTCAACGCAGCTTACTTTATAGAAGTTTAGGAAGGCGTGAGAACACAACGGGAGTTCAGAATTAGCCTTGTGCAGGTTGTTGATCTCGGTGAGTAGGAACGACAATATAACCAGCCATCACGGGACCTAGTCCACGTCGAGGGGATAAAAAACGTGATGCTTGATGCGTTCAGGGACATGGAGCAGTCATATGATTTGCCGCGTTGCTCGGTTTTGAGCTTTGAAAAAACCGGAGACAGGTGTGGGCAGAGCGTCTTAAGCCAAAAGACTGGAACGACGATTTTTCAGGCGAGTACTACTACTATGCTATTTGTGGGCAGCAGAACGCGGTTGCTGCGAGGTCAATGCTTAGTAAGTGGCGAAGAAATACAACTTTGAGCAATGACCTACACGTATGTTGTACTTTTGGGACAAGGACTTCGAAGGGTACGCCCTCGTTAGTTCCCAAGATAAAAAGAAGGATCACAAGGCGGCGAAGGCGCCTCTATGACAATGCAAACTGTCGATGAAGGACATCCAATGCCAGTGGTTTTATGAGGGTTATCCAAAAGCGGTTATGGGAAACCCCAACGGCAAAGAAGCACAGATTGAGAAATCGTAAAAGTACGTCGGTGCTCCATTAGACGCCTTATAGCAATCTGTGGACCCTCGCTGATGCGACCGGCGACGAGACCATCAAGAAACAAAATGCAGCCGTGCGTTGGTATTTCTCGCTTGCAATGGTCGAAGATAACGTTTGGAAACCGGGTATGGAGTTTTATGAGAAATGGGAAAATGGCAAATTGTTGTCACACGATGGGGCGAAGTGGACGATGAAAAAGAAAAAGATCAAGGGTTTACGGCCAGACATCGACTATATCGACAACGATAGGCGGGGCCAGAAGGAGTCGTTTACAACGTTCCAGTTGAAGTGTCGACACAGAAAGGGAAAAAGGAGAAAGAGTCAGGCGAATGGTTCGTCTAGGTAATGGAGGTCGACACGCATTCCTGGAAAATGATGCAGTCCGTCACGGACCATAAAAAGTGTTGAATCTTGAGGAAGATCATTAATTGCGAGGTCATTTGAATTCAGGCGGGCCCAAGCTCGTTGGCGAAGCTAGGGATGCAGAAAATGGTGCACTTTGTCAAGTGTGATTGGGTGTTGGTGCTCTTGTGGAATTCTTACGAGTTCAAATACGAGAAGAAACCCGCTTCAAAGTGGAATCAGTATTACATCATCCGCAAGAGCAGGGCTTCAATCTTCAAAGAGTACGAGAAGTTGGGATTAGACGTCGAGTTGTGGGATGGGAGTAGGGAACACGCCGCTAATTGGGGAATGTTCAAGGACTGCCCGTCGTCCATGGGTTGCGAGGACGACAAAACTATAGACGACACATAAAAGTTTACGAATCATAAGAAGTTATCCAGAGTGGGATGGGAGTGGGGACTTGTGCCTGTGGTACTGGACGCTCGTTTCTTTTGTGCCGCAGCAATTGGACCTCACGTTTATGACCAACCGGCATCATCTTTCTGTCGTTAGGGCACTAACAAGGAAGTGGGTGAGGAGGTCTCAACAGAAAAAAAAAGTTTTAATGTTGGGCACAATGTATATGCGGCGGAGGATCGCGTTTACATTTTGTTTAAGGGTGATGATTTGAGGGAGAACACGTTTGTCATCTACGAAGGAAGGCTCGCGGAGGTTGACACCACAGTTGTTTGGATGCCTAAAAAATTAACCCTTACGGACATATCCGACATTCCCTTAATGCCTTGCGATTGGTCGCTAACCGCACTAGGAAGAGATGGCAAGGTCTACAAGGACATTGAACGCAACCCCACCCAATTGGCCGCTCTTCCATAATTCTTGTGCAAAAAGGGAGAGGGAGTTGTCTTCCTTGGGAAACCTCACTCGTAAGTCATGTGGGAGGTTTTGAAGATTGGCCGCCA